TTTCAGACAAATGGCTGTCCAGTCTCTTCTTAAAAACCTCCAGTGTTGGAGCATTCACCGCTTCTGGAGGCAGGTTGTTCCACTGGTTAATTGTTCTAACTGTCAGGAAGTTTCTCCTTAGTTCTAGGTTGCTTCTCTCCTTGATTAGTTTCCACCCGTTGCTTCTTGTCCTGCCTTCAGGCGCCTTGGAAAATAGCTTAACTCCCTCTTCTTTGTGGCAGCCCCTGAGATATTGGAACACTGCTATCATGTCCCCCCTCGTCCTTCTCTTCATTAAACTAGACATACCCAATTCCAGCAACGAGAAGGAGTCATTATTGACCACTGGAAACTGCCTGAACAAGTTCATGCCGTGTCCTTCACAAGTTTTTGTCAGAAGTGGTTTGCCATTGCCTCCTTCCTAGGACTGAGAAAGAGTGACTGGCCCAAAATTACCCAGCTGACTTAGTGCCTAAGGCTGAACTAGAACTCATGTTCTTCTGATTCCTAATCTGGTGTCTTACACTGTTCTAATTATTATTATTTTGTTCTTAGTGGTTTAATCCCAGGTACCTTTGATTAAACAATGGCATCTGATGGTACACAGAAAACATGTCTCAGTCTGCCCTGTGGAAGACCTGGATGGCTTTGGCCTATGACTTTATGAAGACCTTAACACCCCCCCCCCCGGCCTTAGGTTAAAAATTAAGTGAATCCTTGTGTGGAATTTTGGAGATGGGTTGTCTCTGATCGCTGTACTGCCCCAGGCTTCATAAGCTTCTGAATTTTTGTTGATTATTTAACAATAAAAAAGGTTATTGTTCTTTTAATTTCTTTTTTGTTGATCACAGTATTACGTACAAATCGCATTGAATCAAAAGAAATAAATAAACACTCTTTAGTGCAAGGATGGGGAACAATGGTCCTTTTATGACATGTGGACTTCAAGTCCCAGAATTGTTGAAGTCCACAAGCCAGCACTTGTGGACTTCAACTGAGCATGACTGGCTAAGGAATTCTGGGAGTTGAAGTCCACAAGTCACGAAGGTGCCCATCCTTCCCCCCCTCTGCTATAGTGCTTAATGCACTGGAAGTATTGCTTTTACCTGCTGTTCCTGAAGATCATCCTGGCTCATATCTAAAGGAACAAAGTCAACCGCGGGGAGTTTCTGCAGATAAGATGGTGCTGTAGGATCCTTTAGAGCGAGTGCTGGCGCTGTGGGATCCCTTAAAAAGAGTGCTGGCTTTGAAGCTTCCTCTAAAGCGAGCGCTGGTGCTGTGGGATCCTTTAAAAGGAGTGCTGGCTTTGAAGCTTCCTCTAAAGCGAGCGCTGGCGCTGTGGGATCCTTTAAAAGAAGTGCTGGCTTTGAAGCTTCCTCTAAAGCG